GTAAATCATCCCATTACTGACAATAATTATACGCGGAGTTTGTTGCAACTGTTCGCGAAATTATTTGATGACGGAACGTAACCGTAACTTTCAATATGTGAGAAACGTATGCCCGCTGTCGTAAGAAAACAAATGCAATCATAAAAATGTAAGCGTTATAACGTCGAACGAAAACTAAGCTTAGCAACAACACAGTGCTTTATAATATCAACTTTAAAATAGAACTTTCAAAGTTTGCGCCACTTGCACTGAAACAAATGCACGATTGTGCAACGGAGAAAGACGCCACTAAACACGATGCTCCTTCCTACATCTTCGCCCAATCGCTAACTATTCCAACCTTCGTCGCATTCGATGAGCAGCTTCTACAAGTCAAATCCAGATGACTATTTGTTTAAACGACTGGCAATCCTCAAATGAACAACGATCGAAAAGATCCCTGCACAATACAGTTACTTCAAAACGATGCTTTTTGATATAAGTTTAATGTGAAATTAAAGAAAGAACACAAAAATTTATTTATTCTAATGAAAACGAGATCAAATAGTACACAACAATGAACAACGACAAAAACAGCGTTTACATGCCATCTTTTGCATTCACCCACGACAACAACAATTCCATTCAATAATTATGAACGTAATATTTGCAGATGTCAATCATGAAAAGCAGTGAGATTCATCAGAACTGCATCCAATAAACTCATGAGTGGACGATGAAGAGTGATCAATAATTACCACTCACATGGAATATTCCAAAAGAGCAATCAACAAATTTGGAAACTGATTATTTGAAGTTGACGAATAAATATTTGGACAAAATTACAAAATTACTGAGAGATAAAATCAGAACGAATTTACATGCTGATTGAATTAAATCTACAAGAAAATATTAACAATTTCGATCGAACAATTATGGAACAATTTATGGAAAACTTTACAGGATACAACATGCTAACAACAATACACAAAAGGAGGTATTCACACAGGATAAACTTTTCTCACACACTGTCAACCTGAACGATACACATATCAAACGAAGATAGATATTGAGGGAAATTAAAATTTAGGTTGGAAAAGTTCAGAAATAAGCCAAATTTGTTTGAATTAGAGAGAATGACGTTGATTGGCGTTGAAATATTATACAAAGAAACGATTTGTTGAGGACAATAATTCAATTGTGAACAATAAAATACAAAGAAACAATAATTTCATCCGCCACAATGAACATCTTCGTTAATTCACAAAAGCTCTCCGAACAGCCTCGAATTCTGTTCGATATACGTCGATAATATGAAATAAAACCAACAACAACTATGAAAAAAGACAAAAAATTTCTCCATGAAAAGTAATGATCAAACTCCACAATTACTGCGTTAATATTCACCAAAAAAATGATTCTGATGAATAGGAAGTGTCAAAAAAACGTGAGTTCCATTCTCAAAATGAAAATTTTCTGCTCATTGTCGATGCTAAATTTTATCCCAAATAAATATCACCGAAATAATCTATTATTCATCAGATCGTTGGACTCAACAGAACAAAATCATCAACAATAAAACAAATTAAAATTGGATATGCAATAGTACGTTTACAGTTTAGAGCGTTTATTTCCACGAATATCTTAATTCCCCTTTGTTTACTAAAATAAAATGATAAGAACACCAGGAATGTACTTTTAGGTGTACAAACAAATATCCGAGCATGCTATCTTGCGATATCCAAAATGAAATGTATTACGTTACAGCGAGTGCATGACGATAGCATAGGTTACGACAAAATGCAAATTCACTCAACACAAATTGTACACAACAAAAAACAACAATAATACAGCTCTGAACAATTAAAATTTCCACGGAAAAATGACTGAAGTATTCAACTGCACAAAGTCATTGAAAAGGAAGCAATCCAATAACAACAGATATCGGTTTTGTGACGGGATATCAAGCTTAAAGATTATAACATAACAATCTCAATTCAACAGCACCGATACACTCAAAAAATGCTAAGCAGTCGATATCCTTGAAGACGTTCGAAAAGCACCTTTGAAATAACCCGACGCAAACCAACATCATCACTTGCTGTTACATGAATTCAGTGGACGATAATGAATATTTGCCTCATAAAATGCCAGAAGGCGCTAAAAATGAACTTTATGACGAGTGTTTCTATCAGATTATCATTTCAATAAATCTACACTAATTGGACACAGCATGAAAAAGAATAATTCAAGTATCACGTAATAAGAACACAAAATCAAATCAATGATACAAAAAAGTTCATCTAACGACCTTCAGAAAGGTGCAAATTTGGTTTTCAATCTCAAAAATTAACATCCTGAAGAGACGACCTAACAAGTGAAATAGCAACAAACCCTCGGATCCATTACATGAAGCACACGAGTGGGCACCAATTCACATTCGCCACTCACATAGCGTACCAAAGCCTTCAAATTGAGTGTTGACAAAATTTGGGCTTGAAATGTTGATCAATCACAGTAAAAATGGTTGACTGTACTTACAAATAATGACTACGTCGAATTAGTTTCAGCTTCTTTGGAATAGAAGACATATCAATAAGACTTTCTGGAAAATCATTCCATCAGGAAACCTTAATAAATTGAAAACGAAAATACGATCTACGTTGAAAACGAATCGAGATTGAATTGGTTTCTCGGATTAAACATTTTGATGCATGCAGAAACAAAGAAAAACGATACGAATGAGAAATAACAAGTAAATTAAGACAATCTCATTTAAGAATAACCATCAACTCTGCACTAGATCCTCGATTGCACAGGCCGATAATTGTGTTTATTTTCTGACCCTTCATTATACCCAGTTTACGGTCTTCATCAGATAAATCTTCATCGTCTTGAAGATCTACAAAAAATTCGCAACGAATTTAGAAATAAATCACAAACAAAGTTTTCTTTCAAGAGAGAATTGAAAGTGATCAAAATAAAAATATATAAGCATAAGTGAGCCTCTTTTGCATCACGGAAATACACTAACCTATTACATCATTACATTTGGCCTTAGGCATTGTTGCAGGAGACTTCTGCTCAACGCTTTCCTGCAAAATGACAATAAACAAGACAATACCACTCTCATTAAACACAGGTTCATTAAAAATAATAACGACACGATATCATTCGAAATGCTGAAAGGACCCATAAAACCGTGAAATCATCTCACGAAATTGCAAAGAATCACTGATAAACTAAACAAATTTTCGGATGTAAAAATTTTCACGTGAACTCATAAATGGTTATTATTCACATACAACTGCTTTCCGATATAGAAAACGACTGCAGTTAGGTAACAATGAATAATCATCGATCAAATGGTTTGTGATATCATCGACTGAAGTAAAAACGATACCTGAGTTCTTGCTGCTTCGAGTGACACCGGTTCCGCGTTCGAGTGGTCTTCGTTGGCCGTCTGAACAGACATTAATGTAACTGATTCACACTCAACCAAAGAAGATGATACTGTTCAGTCAAAGGAATTTATTTATGCAATTAGAACAAAGGCAATGGAAAGTGAACATGTATCGCTCAGCTCAAAATATGATTATCAAAATGAATACAATCTGGTGAAAATGATCGTAAATGAATTAATTTTCACTGATCCTTGACTTCAATATGATGTGCCATTGAAATTGTGAGAGAATTACAAGACCTCGAACTACAAATGCTTTACAATTTCTCCTAAACCCTGCAACCAACCCGCTGGAAATGGGAGACTAACTGACTAGTGGTCACCAAAAAACAAATATCAGTGGCTACCGACCGAAACTGATCGACGACTTAAAGTCACCTTGTCGATGGACACCAAAAAAGACTCTGTCGATTTTCAACTCTAAATTATCGAATAAACTCAAGAAATCAGCAAGAGACAATTGTATAGATTGCTATCAGACCTCAATTTACACTTACATGAAAACTCAATGAACTTGTAATATTTTGAAATTTGGTCACGGATGACAACAATGATAAGCAAAGAACCGACCGGCACGTTGTCCTCGCCCTTTGATACTGCTGTCGTGGCTTCTGAATCCGCTTTGTCAACACTATCCGTTATCGCGTTCTCCTCCACGCCCTCATGATTCTCCCCCTCGCGTGAATCCAACGTTGGTTCAGCATTATCTCCACTGAAAACTCATTTACAATCAACATTTCTCCATCAATCAAACACACTGAAATTGATAGATGTGCGATATTTGATAAAATGAATCCTTCGAGTTTTGAACGAACGCTCGGCTACAATACCGTACTAATAGTTAAAATTTGCAAATTACAAAATCNTTCAAAAATCATTTTCCTGCTCTTATGCATATACTAATATATAAAATCACTGCTGCTACCAAAATAGGCCGTATACATTGCAGAAAGCAAATACTCACGCATTTTTCTCGATACCAGATGCATCACTCGATTCAGAAAGTATTCTCTTGGTTCGTTTGTTCGGTTCTGATGACGTTGGCGACCTTTTTCTGACTCTTTTCTTCGACTGCGCTTCAAATTCGCGGATCAGATCCTTTGAAGACTCCTGAAGAATGAAGTGATTAGAAATTTAAATCTTATCATACCCCGAAAAAAAAAACTACTGAAGAAGTGAGTAAACAGAGATGAAATCAAGTAAATCTTCTTTTTTAAAGAATGGTAACCGATAATATCTTCGAACATACACAGTTCTCTTCCGGCTCCCATGTGCACTCCTCGATTGGGTATCCTTTCCACTTAATAAAATAATACACCGCACCTTTCACAATCTTCTTATCCAATATCTTCTCAACAATATATTCTTCACCGTTATCTGCACCCTAAACTCGCAATTTAATGCAGTAAAGTACAACAAATTAACTCACTAAATAACCGTGCAACGATCAGTGCTATCAGTTGAACGCTGCTTGACTAACTTTCATCGATGCTATATGCGAATATCATCTTCATGCAACACTAATAATCGTTAACTTTGAAAATTCAACAAGACAATTCGATCAACTGGATATCACAAAAATTGAACAGAAAGGCTATAATTGTTCAAAAAAGTTAGTTCTATACAGATTTAGATCAAATAATTCTCCACTCATCATCTATCCATTCATATAACACACCCATGTAAAATTTTCAAAATGTTAAACAATCATCTTTAATAGGATAAAACAATAGTTATTGCCTTTACCATATCTTCGACTACGGCGGGCGACTTTTTGGAAGCACGTTGAGCAGAGCCTTTATGCGATTTAGTTTTAGTGAAGCGTCCCATCTCCGATTCCTGAAAAGTTATACCAGAAAATGACAATATAGAAAACCAAATTTTGGACCGGTTCGTACAAAACCGACGAGACTCAATAATTGCAAGCCGTGATATTCACCAGAACAGGCGAAAAACTCACGACTAAACAGAAATTCACAATTACTAATTGCTAGATTAGTTGGAAGAGAAACGATAGAGTTATGAACTTTTTTGACAGACCTGAGACATTTCGGTACTTTCATCTGACATTTCTGAGCGACGATTCACTATTAATAGCTAGATGAGTGACATAAAATACTGCACAATGGCAAATAAGTGAAAGTTTATGCTTAATAAGCGATCAATACGAAACAAGATAGAAATTTTCAAGCGTTCAATAGAAGATAAGACAGTGCGAGACAAAACAGAAATTTTTATTTCGAATTCTGTGGTGAAATGTGCTCACAGACCTACCGAAATAGTACACTTACTATCAGTGCTCGTACTCAACAGTTCTAAGGTATCCATAAATTTTATAACCTCTTCAAAAATGTCTGATAAGAGTTCAAACACTTCATAACTCATTGAAACAATTACAACACCTTTGAAAAATGTAATAAAATTATTCGAAAATAAAAACTAATCTTCGCAACAGAATTCGCTACATTCGCCAAACGTGGTGTCAGACGAAAGGCCAAAAATGCTTCGGCAAAAAACTTTGCCATTATTTCAGACCAATCGGTTTCACCCAAATTGGATGTGGCGATGGGGAGTAAAATTAATACCAGAAGTAAGTAATTTACTTGGTGTGAATGAAAAAAATTTCGCAAAATTAAGAATTTGAGCAAGGAGTGGGAAAGTACATTCGAAGAGATTTTCAGCCTAAAGAAAACATAAAACTTATCATTTCCCAACAAATGAATCTTTGGGTTACTTATTTTTATTCATTTTTTTTNTTTTTTTTCTGGCAGAACACTATTCACTATGAGTTTCGTCTTGGCATATGTTTGAAACCTTCAGCATACTAGAAGCAAAAACTTTTTTGGAAGTTGAAACGAATGGGTGGGCAAGGATGAGGAGCAGTGCACCAACAGAGGATGGGACGAAATGAGGAGGTTTCGATTTTGAGCACATTCGTGGGATGAAGTTAGTTTTGCGTGTGTGGTTGTAGGCCAGAGGGCATTTTCATGTTAACGATCTGATCGATGAACATCAGCAGGCCGAACGACTTAGGGATGTCGTTGTCCTTAAGGCAAATTAACATGATCGTCACACCGAACTTACCAGTGTCGCCCGATCGTAAATATTGACATCTAAAGATTGCCATCTAAAATGCTTTTATTGTGCCCTCCAGAAAGTTGCACCGCACAGACGTCGTTTCTGTTCGATTGTTGTTTATTCGACTTTTGACGAAATTATTATCATTTTTCTTACAATTAAATTTATGCCAATTTCCTTTCACAGAAAATATTTTTGAAAGTTGAGCTGATGGGGCGTTTTTTCAAACCTTAAACCTTAAAATTTTTTTCAACTCAAAATATAATCTGTCTATTTTTGTCTGTTTTATTCTTTATTTTCGATTAAAGAGATTCCTTCTTCAAAAATTTTTCGTTAACAGAATGGTTTGTTGATAAAGGTGTTTTTTTGGTAGGTAATTGAAGTGAAATTCTTTCCGTAGATAAGAATAATTGAAGCATCAAAACTTTTGTTGTTTTTTTTTCATCAAAACTACAAACAATGTTCACTATTCGAAAAATCACAAACAATTGATTGATCAGGATTTGCTAAAATAAAACCTTATAAACTAGAACACAACAGGGCTTGTAAATGTAACAGAATTTACATGTGAACATTCAATAAAACGCTAAGAAAAAATTGCAATTGAAATCATAACATCTTACTTTTTAGGTACATCATTGCAACTGATGACGATGGAGATGAACTTATCAGAGATGAAATAATGTCTTGCTATTGATGAGTTCAATTTCACTTTATTCAAACAGTGTTAGTAATGCAAAACTCTCATTTCATGCACATACTCTTTGTGTTCAACAAATGACTGCCTATAGGAACTGTACCAAATGAGATGAATTGCTGTTAATGATCACAGGTTATCTTAGTATCAGTTGGGGATGTGATTCATTGACATCAGCATTCATAATCACTCAGCTGCATTTTGAATGCCTTTATGGGGAGCACGACAGAGCTTTTGTGTTGTTTGATCAAGCCATTGCCGGCAAACGGATCAACAGATATTTAAGTCAACTAAGCTGTCGTTCAAGAGAGAATTCAAAGTGCTATAAATAGTGAACTGAAAGCCGAATTCAAATGAACAACAAAATGCTAATCTTTTGCGATAATACATTCAGCACTTGGTATTCTCGTTGTACTGATTAATTGTATCCGAATGCTCAACTCTGATCATTGCGGCAGTGATTTGGTTGACAGCAATTTCATTGTCTAGACTGCTCACTTCACGCATACACGATTCATTTTCAGTTCATTTTCATTCCATGACTACCTCCCAAACGTAAATCGCCTGTCAATTGAAGTTTACTAGCTGGAATCACGCGCAAAAGCTCTTTAGATGTCTTGAACATCTAAATTAATTTGGAGAAACTTTGTAACAGTGTGTTGCGGTGAACAGGAATTTCGGGAATCTTTGTTGGTTGTCCCAGCCTCGTCCCCGACTTCCCTCTGACCAATGACCTTTTTCGGGTCGCAGGCACGGAATTTTCTCCTCGGCTTCTCCAAAATTATCGGAAATTACGGGCTGGTGAAAGGTTTCGGAAAATTCCCACAGAAATACTCCGAAAATTGGAGTCGAAGGTTCTCTGATGAGGGACACTCGATTCTGTAGTCTGTATTTCTATTCATCATTACATATAAAAAAGTTTGTTTCAGTATATGTATTGGACATTCATTATTTCTTCAGCCTTGCCCGTACTCAGCCACACTATCTGATTTGTGATACGATATGGAGGGTTTTCACCATATTTTGTTTCCATTCATATTTCGCCCTCCAGATTTGATATTTCCCATTCAGTAACTTCATGAAGTGGGTAGATTAGGTATTTTATTCATTCGAATTTTACCTATCGTCGTGTTTCTGTTGAGGACTTTTATTGCAACTAAAGCTGATAGATTTATTCATGTTCTGAATGAACAACTATGACGTTTGAATACAACCGAATTGAATTATTGTCCAAATGAAAAGGATCCCTCATCGTTATTTCTTAAGCACATGTCATTTAGCACATGTTTAATGAATGTTGTCGCGAACGCGTTTTGGTAAATGCTGTTCGCTTGTTTGGGGGGATACGGCACCGACTGTAAAAGTATGAGTTCAGCAAACTGCTGAATACAGCAGAATGTATCGAAAGATTCCACGCTAAACCATGAAATTAGATTCGGCAGTTGTTATATCGCCGAAAACTTGGGTAGTCGGCGGTTTGCCGACCGAATTCATTCCGGCGATTGATTGAACGTTTCAGAGGTTTATCACTCTGGTCACATTCACTAGATGCGTTCGTTGCAATAGATTACCAAAATCAGTAATCAAAACATCTTATTTATTCANAATTCCCCAATCGAAATGTTACTTCTCTTCAATAAAATTTTCTGAATAAGTTCTAGGTACCATTTTAGAATGGAAAATTGGTGAAATCTCACCAAAAATGCAGAATTTTAATTCAGAATGAAGGGAATTTTTGAATGCTTTTTGGAATACCTCAGGTTAGACCTCACCGTAGGCTCTAGGTCAACCTCAGTCCTAACAATAAGGTAAACTTTAAGTTAAATGCCGAGGAATTCTAAGCCTGAGTTTCTAGTAAGTATCAGTCGAAGACCAAGGAAAGCTTCAAACACAGCCAAGTGACAAGCATCAGCCTAAGGCTGTCGTTAAGCGTGACCTTAAGCATAAGATATGCCTCAGCCTGAGCACAGGGTAAACCTTGGCTTGTCCCATGGTACAAATAATCTTAAGACCACTATTAACCTCAATATCTCGTTATGAATGATTACGTGCAGCTTCGTAAAGAATCGAGCACAAAAACGACGTTGGAGTTGTAAGACTTCATATGATTTGATGGCTCCATAACGCTTTTCAAAGAACATTACTATGGCATGTCAATGATCTTTGAGAACAAAAAGTGCGAGACAAAGCGTTTGCGCATGAATAGATTTCATGCATTCACAGATTTCTCGTCATTTTGACCCCATCCACTTTTAGTAGCCAACACCAATGATGATACTAATGGTGAGAATTTTTATGATACGCTGAATAGCAATCAGCAAATGAAATCATTACATCAAACTGTCCACTACTAGTATCACCTTGTAATAATAAATAATCAA